GCCCTGCTGTTGCTTAGAGGGACGAGGCTGGAGGGAACATCGGAGGCCTTGGGATCAGCCTAAGAGGCTCAACTGAATCCTGAGTTTACTGGGAAATCACCTGGGGGACGTTACACAGGAGCAAAACGAGCAGATTTGCATTTTCGACAGAGTCGCACTGACTACAGGGCAAACAACAGGAAGGCGGGGCAAGGCCAGAGCAGAGGCCAGGTGGAGCCTGCCAGGGTCATCAGGGTGTGTGGGCAGCCTGGCCTGAGTCAGCCAGAGGGCAGGCAGGCGATGGTCCAGGGCACGTGGTTCATCTGGGGTGGAAGGGTTTGAATGTGACCCTGGTTTTCTGGGAGGTTTAGGGAACGAAGTGGCCGTGACTGTGATTTGGATGGGCAGCAAGAGATAGATGGTCACAGGCAACCTTCTTGGCCCTGTGCCAAGCCCTGCTCCCATAACCCTCCGGGCGAACCTCCATGGAGAGTCCATTCTGGGCACAATGACCACTTTCACAGTAAGGGAGCTGAGACACAGCGCTTACACCTCTGCCAGGCTCACCCTGGCAGGACTGCGGCCAGCTGAAGTGAGTGCTGGCCCACACACCTGCCTACCATGGAGACAGTCCGGGGCTCTTCTGGAAGCAGCGTTGACAGGTTCCACTGCTGGGTTCATGCTAGGGCAAAAGTCGTGTCTTAGTGACAGTCCAGAGGTGCCTGACCTCACAAGTGGACATAGATCCCAGGCCCTGCTCTTCAGCCCGAACTCAAACTCATGCATGCTGCAAACTGAGGGACGGTGGCCCTAAAGGCCCTAAACTGAGTAGGTGCAACCAAAAGCGGCTACTGTGTGCACACAGATGCTTGGGAAATGGCATGGGTCAGAATGACTTCTGACTTCTGAAGGTCACAGACAGACCTGAGTCAGGACCAAGAAGGATGCAGGTAGCCTTCCCATCATGCACCATCTGCACTGGCCCTGGCTGGGAGAGGAGAGGGGATGGCGCAGCCCTGACCTTCCTACTTCAGGATGTGGCTCTGAAGGCCCAGGGCTTTGTCCGCGTGGGCTTGGAGCGCCCTCTGCTGGAAAATTCTGTTGCTGCTGCCTGATGCCAGGATCCATTTCAGGGCATTTGGGGGTCTGGTCTGTGTCAGGGTGAGGATGGAGAGGAGGTGGGGCGGGAGAGGCAGTCCCAGAAAGAAGACGGCTGATCGCCACCCATGAGAAAGAAGACACAGGGCAGAGGGGCCTACATTTTTCATCTCACAGGTTTGTGCCCCCATTCTTTGGGGTATCCCTGGACAGCACACTGACTGCCCATGGGCTGTCCTTCAGTGCATCTTTCTTTGATGCAGTATTCACATTGGCCCACAAAAATAAGAGCATTAAAATTATTTTAACGGACATAACTAATCCTCCCAGTTGTCACTGGTTATCATTTGAGCAGATAGAACCTAACAGCTGTCACTGAGTGGTCCCGATGATCCCGGGGCTTTGATCCCTGCTTAATCCTGAGCATTGTCAACGAACCCATTGTTCAGATGAGAAAACCAAGTCCCATGTTCGAAGTCCATAGCTGTGTACGGCAGAAGAACAGGATCGTCTAGAGGGGCAGAATGCAGCTCAAGTCCTTTGTCACCCTGGGTGAGACTCTGGGGCCAGTTCTCTCTCCTTTCCCTGGCTGGCTCCTCACCCCTCGAAGCAACAGCAGGGCCCAGGCAGGACATTTGACACCTCTTGGTAGTCTTTAAATATTTGCACATTTAACAAAGAGGAAAACTTTTAAAATTATTTTTAATGTAAAGAATAGTTTCTCTGTTGGTGAAACGAACAGCACTCGTATCTGGTACAATAGGGACGTCACCTAACCCTCAGGACCCCTGGCTCACCCTTGGGGAGAGGGGGACACTTCTGCAGGGTTCTGGTGCTTGTGGAGCCATGCAGAGAGAGCCGCCGACACTTGCTGCACCCCCAACCTGCCCCCCATGGGGGTGGGGGCACCTTCTCTGGCAGCTCCTAGTTTGAGAATGGAGGCGTCTATGCAGAAGGCTTTGGGCCTGATCCTTGGGCCTTCAGCATGGTAGGGTGGGTGTGGGATGTCCCCCACCCCTAGATGGCCAGATGGGGGGAACCCTCTGTGTGCTCAGGACTGTGGATTAAGGGCAGGGCCAGTTTTGGGGAGACTCAGCCTCTCCCAGCAACACCCTTTCAAACTGAGGCTGTCTCAGCTCTGGGC